GACAGCACCTGGTATTCCTGAGTACTGGCCAGGTTCAACATTGTTTAACGTCGGTGATCGGGATGAGAACAGTTTTTTTTTAACGTGATGTGACCGTAAACCATTTCTCTTATGGCTTCTGAGCTTAACTGATTGTAGCTGTTAACATGTGTATGTTTTGAATTGGTGAATCCCGTTCAGTACCACGGATTTGGTTGGTTGCCTGATATTAAACAGTTGGGCGTATAACTTAGGGACTGAATAACTATGCATTTCTGTTAATATTAATAATAATAATAATAACAACAATAATAATAATAATAATAATAATAATAATTTTGAACATTTGACTGTGATGCATGTGCCTGGTATACCCTTATTAAATTGCATGTCATGATGTGTATATTGGGCTTCGTATATTTGTACCCCAGCATCACTTTGTTGGCATGCAGATCTCTCACTTAATATTAATAATATTTGTACTTAGTGTCACTTTGTCGATGTGCTATTTTCTCGTATAATAATAATAATAATAATAATAATAATAATAATAATAATTCAGTAATAAAGGAAGCCAACAATCTCGAAAGGGAATTTCAAGTGGGCAAAGAAATACAAATAAACCATAATAAATCTACTGCAGCGGCAAAGAAGCTAAAAAAAGAAAGCAAAACAAATGCAATGTACCAAATACAAAAACGATGGCAAGATAAGCCTCTTCATGGTCAATACTCTACCCGTATCAAACAAACTGATGTAGACAAACCCCGTACCCATCAGTGGTTACGTAGGGCAGGGTTAAAAGCTGAAACCGAAGATTTTTACTCCTGTTGCACAGTGATGCCTGCTAACTAGAAATTACCAAGCACACATACTGAAGAAAAATGCAGATTTTGTGACAAATATTTAGAAACAATTGAACAAATGAATATAAAACGATATGACAGAGTGGGCCAATATCTGCACTGGAAAATATGCAACATTTACGGGAAGGAAACTGCAAGAAACTGGTATGAGCATCAGACCCGGTTACAGATATAGGACCTGTAACCATTTTATGTGACTTTCCAATACACACAGACAGAACAAGCAAAGCCAATCGCCTGGACATCAAAGATCAAAAGCCACAAGAACGGAAGGTGCTTTCATGTTGACATGGCAATTCATGCAGATTTAATGTATCTTTGAAGGCTATCAAAATATAAGGATATTAAAGGGGAAATTTTAACATTTGGCACGTGGGGATATCAATAATTGGTGCCCTCGAATTGACTGAAAAAAGGTCCGATAGACGCATTGAAGGGATTCCTGGTAGTCCATGTCTTAAAGGTATACAAAAAATTCTAGTCATAAGTACAGTTCAAATATTACGTAGAGCTTTATCAATGTAAAATTTGTGTGATCTTAGGGTTTTTTTTTATTTTTTTTTACTAAAATGATCAGTGGGAATTGCTATGAAGTCATTTCTGACCATAGGTCTCTGGTTGGGACCTGGAAGGAAATGTGTATTCAACAGAAATCAAAGGAAGTAATAATAATAATAATAATAATAATAATAATAAAAAGCAAAATGACAACAGACGATATTGATCGGATATCCTCAAGGTATATTTAACCTTGACATACAATTGTTCAAATTAAGCATCAATCGCTTTATAATATCTTTTTTTTTTCCTTTTTCTAGCTTTGCATTCCCACCTACTACAACAGTAAAGAGTTTGACGACTAAGTTTGTTTTCCCCAAACACACTCATTAGGCAGAAAAGAAACAAGTCTTATGTCAAAGGAGAGGTCCTATATGTCCATCAACTTGCGATAAATGTTTTTTTTTTGTAAAACTACAGGTATCTAAAATACATTACCGAATTTTCTACTTTTGGTGAGAAATATTGTATAGATACGAAGAGAGGATTCAAATTTTCCCCACCATTAAAACTATATCGACACGAACCTTTGGTTAGAGATATAAGGATTTGGGAGGCTGTACTGAGTATCTAGAAGGCTGGAACTCCATTTTCAGTGAATTGTTAGTGATATACGTTTCTGCATACTTAACTAGGTGTACTCCCGAACACACGCACACAGAAAAATAAAAAATAAAAAAATAAAACGAAAAAAGAATGGTGTATGTTTATCAAGATTCTTTTTTCTAAACATATAAATCTACATTAACCACATGATATTTCACCATTTTTACTCAGACGAACAGGCATCCAGTATAAAAACGAAAGTCTTGATGGATGATATGTCATCCATCGTGTTTGATTGGTTAGGGCACCTCGACATGGTGTAATGGTTAGCAATGACCCATACTTTCATCTTTGTCTCACATCTAAGCTACGCTTAGAAAATCGCCATAGTGTTAGACTGGTTGGGGCTTCTAATATCGAACGCATAAAATGTCATAAAGCGATTTTCATGTCATGCAATACATCTTGTAAAATCTTCGTTATTAGAGAGGGATATATTTGATTTTTGATTTGATAGTTTTAATAACATATCTCAATATTTTCATTGTGCAATGAACAATAAACAAACTCACGGTTAGATCAGCGTGCTAATTATTATGTTAATTAAGTATTAGTGTGGTCACAAAGCAACAGAAAAAAATTGTCCCTCTTAAAAAAACGCCATTAAAATCAACACAATATGATTTTATTCACGTTATCTGTATATAGTTCGGTTTAACCGACTAGGATCAGAGTGTTGTATCTGTGCCTACTGCTAAATTACCTAAGATCAGTGTTTCTTGATCCAACTTTCGGACGGGGATCAAAGTGTAGTATCTGTTCTTCCACTTTCTTCCGTGTTTCTGTCTTCGGGAAAGAACTTTCAGGGATGCCTAGTCCTGGGGGTTCCAGCCCTGTGGCAGAACCTCTCTCATTGCACTAAAGAGGCAGGGTTGGCGGATATCAACACCAACCTGACGGTGGCCGAAGAGACTGGGTATTTTTTTTTTTTATCCTTGGTCTATATATTCGTGTATGGGCATTCCACATTAAACATATGTTACATCCACTTGGGGGTTTAGGCAAGATAAATACAGGATCAAAGTGTATGTTCTGTGAAATGCGTGCATACACAGTATATATATATATATATATATATATATATATATATAGATATATAGATAGATAGATATAGATATATTCACATAGAAAAATGTTAAAATTTCCGTTCCTCTCTGCCGTACGACGATAGACTAAGATTAGAATCCCTGACACTGAAGAGCTGTCATACAACGAAACAGTCCGTCTGTGGGTGACTATATATATATATATATATATATATATATATATATATATATATATGTCTGTGTGTGTAAAGTGTTTTAACAGAGGACGGAAAATGTGATACTGAAATCCGATCAGTTCTTTTATATTTCAGTGAATGATGGAAAATTTTCTCACATTGGAATAGGAGACTTGAGGTAACAGAGATGTTCTTCTACAGAAAGATGCCGAGAATACCATGGATGGAGGATGTGAGTAACGAGGAAGTTTTAAGCTATATGGAAGCAAAAAGGAGAATTAGACTTAAAATAAAGAATGAAATAGATAAAATTTCTCGAACTCATAATAAGGAAAGAAGGCTTGGGAAATTTAACACCGGTAGAATTGAAAGCAAGAGGGACAGATGGAACCTAACCTACTTGTATAAATGGATAGTAGAACAGGGAGGGGATGGATAGTAAAAAGACAAAAATTGCTAAGAGCTACATAGGACAGGAGGCTGTGGAGTGCCACGATCGCTCACGCCCTAAAGCAGTGTTTTTCAACTTTTTTAAGCAACGGTACACAAATAAAAATATCCCGCCACACTTAGCAAAATTTTAAATAGGTATACATGTAAATGTTATGAAATAAAACCATAGATTTAAATAGAAAAATACCCACACAGATATAAACTTACTTTATTTCAATGTTTGTATTCAACTATTTGTGCAGCTTGTTTTAGTTTGAAACCTGTGCCTGGTGTTTTTTTTCGCGATTTCTTCAATATTTGGTCGAATGTGCGATAAGCAGACACTCATTTCTTCTTCAGTTGAGCATAGTCGTTCTCATTTCTCATTTTTGACTTTATTTAGGGTTGAGAAGCCCAATTCACATAAATAAGAAGTAGAAAAATTGCAATAAAATTGATAAAGCCTTTTTAGCTAATGTGGGATAAAAGATTTAATACTTATTCACTTATTCAAATACTAACGCTGTATCATTACTACTTCTACACACACATTCGCGGCACACTTAAGAGGGTCGCGTGGCACGGCGGTTGAGAATCACTGTCCTAAATGGATAAGACCTACAGAAGAAGAATTTGAGTTCATAGGTAAGTGAATAGATTGATACCTGCTAAATAGTTTGTCATTTTGTCTTTTATGCATACTGTTCCAATCTTGATGGCACTGTTTATCCAAACTTTCTCTGAATCAGTCTGAGATTCCTTCTTTGGGAAATCAGGAGTGCCCAGAAAAAGTTTGGTTAGAATTAATCTTGAAAGACTTAGAAACACTCGCGTGGCGCGGTTGTTAGCTCGATCGTCTCGCAGACCAATTCTCTAATAATATAGTGAGTTCGATCCTCACGATTGTCCCATTGTTGCAGCCTTATGCCAAACTTAGCGTCACCGAATGCTTACATTTACACGTGTTCATATAATATATCACAATCGTACTGTTACATAATATCAGTTCTCCTATAAGGTTGTGAAGGCGGGGCAATCTCCTCACAGATGATTGGTTGTTTAGTTCGTTTTCTACGGCTTATCAAGCCTTTGCAGGTTTTAAATAACCTGCAAAGGCTTGAAAAAATATTTTTAGATTGTAAGAATTTTTTGTTTGAGACCGTAATAATTTTAGTCTTAATCATTAACCCATAGCTTGAAGAGAAAGGATGTGGATTAATACCTTTCCCAATGGTATTCGTGCGTAAGTAAATATAACGAACCCAACTAGAATTCGAACTCGGCTCTCCGATTAACAATTCAGAGACATTATCGCTGACACTACCCACACATCTAAGCTTACAGCACCTGGTATTCCCACGCGGTCACCCATCTAGGTACTGACCAGGTTCGACGTTGTTTAACTTCGGTGATCATATGAGAACAGGTGGTTCAACGTCCTTACAGATGAAGAAAAGGCTTGAAGAAATAGAAAAGTGGTTCTACAGAGGAATGCTGAGAATACCAAGGACAGAACATCATGAGCAAATGCCGAAGTTTTAGAGAAAATGGAAACAAAAAAAAGGACATTTATACTTAACATCAGACAGAGACAGTTGAAGATTGTAGGGAACATAATGAGGAATGTGGGCTTAGAAAATTTGATACTCCCAGGGCAGGTTGAAGGCAAGAGGAACAGAGGAAAACAGCGCACGACCTACCTAGCAAGTTGGAGTTGGCGGAACAGCGTTTAGGAGAGAGATAAAGAAAAAGACAAACAAATGTATTAACAGCTACAAAGGACAAGAAAGTGTGGAGAGTCATGATCGCCAACGTCTTGAAAGGACACGGCACATAGAAGAAGAATTATCAGAAAGATGCTAGAAAAGCACTTGAAACAAAATGTTTAAAAGTAAACTTTGTGACTCAGTTTACGGTATTTACATTTTAATACGTTTTTATGTTAAATATTTAACGTCAGATTTTTAAAAACATAAAAAAAAACTATGACTATATTTAGGGTCAATTTTAAGGTAAATTGTCGGTTTTTAATTATCTTTGCTATATTTGCATGTAATGTCAATAAAAACCACACCGTGAAGAATTAATACTTGGCAACAAATCACATTAGAAAACGAAATAACAGCATGTATTGTAAATTATTCAACTACAAGGGATTAAATAAAAAGATCTTATTACACTTACCGATTAACTCACACCTCTGTTCGATTCTGGTCTGAATTTTTACCCTTCGGGACACGTGTCACTACTGGCAACGACTGTCGTAGTAGTAGTTGAGGTGTCCACTGTCCATCATATAAGACTGTGGATATCCGGGTGGAGACATTGAATTATCAAATTTGGTTTGGAGATTTTTTTTCAGTTTTTATATTTTAATTATTCAATAACTGGTATTTTCCAACATTACGAAATAAGTGCATTGAAATAAGCAAGGAAAAAATACATCATCAATCGAAAGAAAGAGGAAGAACTAAGAGAGGAAATTATAATCAATTAATCTTTTTTTTTTTTTTTTCGGACTGCCTATTATTATCTGTTTCCCCAATTTTACAATGTCGCCGACTAGAGTCACTGTTTATTATCATTCAATTAATTTCTTATTTCTCCGTCTTCTAATCAGTATATTTTATCGTCTGTCCTGAGTCTGGAAGCCGGCGGAATCGTGATGTTATTTACCTGGATACGAGAGAACGAAGCTGGATGCGCGATCGGACGAGAAGCTGAATGTATGATTAGCCGTTTTTGTTATAACCATCACCTCTCACCGCTAGAAAATAATCCTCTTATGATAATCTACAACTAGAAAATAATAGATGCGAAGATGCACTTAGCCTTACCCTAAATTTAAAAAAAAATTACCACTAAGAAATTTGGTCCTTATAGAAATGTAACACAGTACCTAACTTCAGGGCTTGTTTGAAACAATACACGTCACGTTTTATTACTGTTACTACTACTAATATAAAGTAGATGTTCTTTAGCGGGCAGTTTGTTTTCTTTTTTTATAAATTGCTTTCAGACCCTATTTTTGTTTATGTAATCGTCTGTTAATCGGAATGGCTTCAGCAATTAATGAACATGCACGCGCATGCGTGTACATTAAGTTTTGTCACCGAAGAGACGATGGTGTTTAAAGTACATATGGGTACGGAATAAGATAAAAATAATTGAAATGAACGATCTTGTGTTCGATTCTCGATATAAGTTTTAGGATAATTTTACATTTCGTCAAAATGAACAGGGATAACTTTTAAGTAAGCATGGTCGGCTGGTTACCACGTTGGTGTTCCGACCGTGAAACACGGGTTCGAATCACATGGTCGTCGTCTAGTCAAGGTGACTTCTTGAAAATATCGCCTCGTGGAGATGATCACAGTATGGGGCATTGTTAAGAAGTGACTGAAAACCACACTTTGAGTTGACTCTAATAACTTCCTCAGTCGGTCCAGCATAGAAAGAAGCTTTTAATTAAAAAATAAAGTATATTAAGTCTAAGAACAGCACCCCCCAAAAAAAGCACAAGAAAATAAAAAAACCTAAAAAACTACATAATTACATTACATATAATGTAAAAGTATTATCGTTTGTTTCAGTTGAAGAGATAAACTAAAGACATAAAAGTTAAGATTTCAAGTCTCTGATCTCTCCCGCTGGATATGGCATAATGGGAAAATAGTTGGTTACACAAATTGTGTTTACCTGGCAGTCGTAAGTTTAATCCTTGGGTCAGATGCTTGTCTCAAGCGTAAGATCAAATTAACAGTGGAATGAGAACATTCTTGAAAGAATTCTGACTACGACATCTGAAGAAGTACAATGGCCGAAAAATTGTGACGATAACATCGATGAGGACACGATTCTGAATAGATCATTTTATGATAAGTCCCCAGCTTAAAAACAAAGTTTTCTTGTAGCAATCATATGTAAGGCCCAAGGGTGATTCAAGATAGAGGGTTACTGTGTGATGTTTTATGAATGTGAGAAAAGAAAAGAAGTGAAGTTTATGAGACTATGCAGAAAAGATAACGGTTAATTCTAGACTTGGTCAAGATTATAGAGATCGGGAAAACAATCTGCCGGGAGTCTGTTCCACAAAGCAGCAGTTCTTTGGAAGAAGCTGTCCGAATGGAACTTACTTCTTATTATTAGAATACGAAGGGAATGGGAATGACTCACACTTGTGTACGTGGTGCTGCGGGTTTCAGGTGTAAAGGTTAGGGGTGGTGGGACTAAGGATTGTAGCTGGTCAGAACACATGCCATGGAAATAGCGATAGAGAGAGCATCGAGAGGTTTCGTCTGTGGGAATGGATTTGTAGGGTAGAAAATAATTCATCACTCTGAAGTTTGCGTAGACACTTTTGAACTATGTCAAGTCAGGCAAGTGTGGGCCGGGCAGTTCCAACCCATATATAACAGCAATAATCCATTTTTGGTCTGATCTGGCTCTTGTCAAGATAGAGTAGAGCAAGAAGAGTCAGATACTTACTGGAACAATAAAATAAACCAACCATTTTTCCAGCATCTTTAGCATTAGATTGGATATATAAGTTCCACTTGAGGTCTGGAAAGACCTGAAATGCCATTAGAGGTTCAAGACAGGAGGCATCCTTGAGAGAACAATCCTTATCCTATACTTGATACGTTTAAGTTCGGACTGATCGGTGGTGTTTGGTTTTGACCGTATTGAATTTGACAAGCCAGTCCTTCTTCCATCGAGCCACCTAGGTTAGGGAGATGATCTGTTAGGTTCTGATCTTCCAGATCTTTGGAAGTGCTGTTGTATCATTCGCATAAATACTCACTAATGAGCGGAGAGAAAACTCTAAAAACTCCTACAGAAGAATGGATTAAACATCAACTACAAGAAGACAAAATGCATGGTTGTTAGCAAAAGGATGAGCACAAAATGCAAATTACAAATTGGAGATATCAAAATCAAACAAGGACAAAAACTGAAATATCTGAGAAGTGTTTTAACACAGGACGGAAGTGCGACATTGAAATCTGAAGTCTCATTGGATAGCCAAAAATGCATTACAAAAGTTAAGCAAAATATTAAGAAACAGAAAAAGAAAACTTCATTAGAGATAAAGAAAAGAATACTGAACTGTTATGTGATATCTGTCCTCCTGTATAGCAGTGAATGCTGGACAATCTAAAATATAAAGAAGAGACTCGAAGTAACAGAAATATGGTTCTACAGAAGAATGCTGAGGATACCATGGACCGAATATATGAGCAACCTCATAGTTTTAGAAATAAATGGAAACAAAAAAAGAAACTAATACTTAACACCAGGAAGTGTCAGTTGAAATTTCTGGAATACACAATGAGGAAAATGGACTTGGAAAATCTGATATTCACGGGACAGACTGAAGGCAAGAGGGACCGAGGAAAACAACATATAACCTACCTAGTGATCTTGAGTCAATGGATATCGGAACTAGGTTCAGGAGAGATAAAAAAGACAAAATTTATCAAGAGCTACAAAGGACAGGAAATTGTGGAGTGCCATGATCGGGGACACGGCACATAAAGAAGAAGAAAGAAGGTAAGACTGACTACAGAACCCTGTGGAATGCCGGCATTGATTATAAGGGCTTCCGATGAATGACCGTTAACAACGACTATCAGTGACCTGCCTTTTAGGAAGGACGTGGTACTTCAATTCCCTACTCGCAGCACGGTGTTTATTTGAACCGGGACGCTTATTTTATATTGAAAAATCCCCACCGGCATCACTATTCCATACGGCACTTATATTTTGTATTAAGATTAAGCGTACGACTACAGATTATTTTCAGTTGTGTCTGCACGAATATAAACGAATATGTAATTGAATTTACACCTTTAATAATGTCTCTGCATTTTACAAAGCACAAATCACACAATTTAAGTTCATTGCTAACTAATCAAATGATTATGAAGCTCGGGTTTCGAATCTGTTTCCCGCATCTTTACTGTCACAATTTCGCAACGTTTCGGCCATTGTACGCTCCGGCCTTCTTCAGGTGATATGTGTTGGAATTTCGAACCGAACTAAATAAAGGGTGCGGTTTGAAATTTCATCCCTCGTCTCATAAATATAGATAGATGTAGAGGTAGGCTTTTGATAAGATCGTCTTGTGAACTCGATCCCAATGTGCGGCAAACGTTTATTGGGGCGACACAAATTCACTCTAGATCACAAATGGTAACATTAGCCATTTCCCTAAAACGAAATATTTAGCATTTATTGACCGATCAGCCAGTACTGTTTTCAGTTGAAATCTATAAAATCTCTCTCTTAAAACAATTTTTCAAGAAAACAGGTTTTATGAAGTCCAGTAGCTGTTATTGCTCTTTCCAGTATTGATGGGAGATTTCCTTCGTAACCTTTTATTTGAAGTGGTGTGGAATGTTGACATCTTTATTATGTCATTATTTTCTTTTCCAGTTACAGTTGCTATCCATTTTATTTTTTGCTGCTGTTGGTAGTCCCCAAGTAATGTGGTTTCCATTATTTGGCCCAGTTCTTTGTGATTCTATAACGCGGAACTCATATATATATGACCCATTGTTAAACGCTTTTATAGGAAAAACAGTATTATCATGTCCAGTAGCTTTTATCTCTCTTTCCAGTTTTGATGGGGGGTTTCCTTCTGAACCTTCTGTTTCAAATCGTGTGAAATGATATATATCATCCATTGTTAAAGATACTAGGAAAATGTCCAGCTCTTCAGAACGCACATAACTCCTTTTGACATGTTTTATGTTTACAAGAGTAGACCAAAAATGGAATATTGCTGTCATATCTTGGCTGGAGCTGACCAATACACACTTTCCAGACTTGATAGCACTCAAAGCCATTTACTCTGCCTTGTAGAGAATGATATATTTCCCACACCGCAGCCTTTATCTCACAGATGCAACATCGCAAGACTGTCGTTACTCTAGCGCTATTTCCATGGCAAATGTTCGGACGAGCTCCATTTCCTAATTCTACAAGTTCAGGCCTTTACTGCAAGGACACACCACACCTCTTCCACAAAGTCAAATCGACATGTTTGTATTCCATCTTTAAGGAGGAAATTACATCCAGAACTTTTCCCCAATAACTGTCTGTTTGTGTCAAAGACTTCCGTGGGGATGCTTCCCCGAAAGCTACAATTTTAACCTCCTCATGTGTCAATCGTTATCTATCTTCTGTATCTTTATAATCTTTACTTACTACTTCATACTCTAACATTTATATCATACACTTCATTCAGTAAGCCTCTACATTGAGGAGCTTGGATGAATATTAGTAAAAAATAAAACAAAACAAAAAATAACGCTGAATATCTGAAGTGCGTACAACAAAGTACATTTTTAGTCGTTACTGCTTTCTTCGTCTATATTACTACCCCATTTTCTTAATTAAAGTTGGGAAATATAATTGGAATTACTGTGATTGGTTTATAATTCAACTCTTATAATTTAATATAATTGGTTTTTAAATCATCGGAATTATTGTAATTGGTTTATAATTCAACTCTTATAATTTAATATAATTGGTTTTTAAATCATGGGAATTACTGTGATTGGTTTATAATTCAACTCTTATAATTTAATATAATTGGTTTTTAAATCATCGGAATTATTGTAATTGGTTTATAATTCAACTCTTATAATTTAATATAATTGGTTTTTAAATCATGGGAATTACTGTGATTGGTTTATAATTCAACTCTTATAATTTAATATAATTGGTTTTTAAATCATCGGAATTATT